AATTAATTTGATATATTTTAAATACAAAGAAGACAGAAAAAATTGTTAAAATATATCGGGAGAAAGGTGAATAACGTGAGAGCGAGACAACTCGTGAGAGAGAGAAAATGTTTTTCTCTTTCTTAACTCGAAAAACACTTTTCCTTAAATAGTCTATCATTTTCCATTGATTGAAAAATCATTTTTCGTTAACTTTTTTCTTAAATACGTAACAAACATCGAAAAATAAGAAAAATGAAGAAAACAAGTTCTTGAAACTTATTTTCTCTCAAACAAACACAGACCTTATTGTCATTAAACCTTATGAGGGTTTTTTTTTTTTTTTTTCAAATTCAAATGACAACTTTATCCATTAATTTTTATTAAGAATTGACATACATACCAAAAACTACTAGTGTTTTATATTGTAACTCTATTTCAAAATTCTCTTTATCTATATTATTATTATTATTATTATATTGATAATTTTTATTGAATTGATGTGTGAGTGTATCACTGCTATTTAATTTTTTATTATTATTTAAGAAAAAAATATGTATACATGCACACACATAACAGGTAAGATTAAGAAACAATAAATTATTTAATATAAATTTAATATATTTGTTATTGTCACGCCCCAGGCCTATTGGAGAGGGGCTTGGTGCACAAATAATCAGCCTTTGCGCCTATCTGTCCTTTCTGTTCAAAAAGAATTATTTGTCGCACATAGGTCTATTTGTCATTCTTTTTATCCATCATCATAACGATGAGCTATAAAGCATCAAAATCAACTTCCCTCAAATGTGCAACGTCCTTATCGCATCAAAATCACAATCTGCGCTCGAGCTCTAGGTAGTGGAGATCGTCCCAAGCCCCAATGTCTACGGTCTGCTCTAATACCATTTTGTCATGCCCCAAGCCCCAGTCTGCTCTATGGGGGCAACTGAACACCCACTAAGTCTACAGCTTCAACACTGAGATTGCGCCTATTAATTTGTCCAAGCTCCTTACAAAAAAAAAAAAAAAACCTTGTTGCACATAGTTCCATTAGCCATTTCTTTTATCTAATTTAAATTCCTCATAGGCATAGGAGCATCACAATCTTCTCCTTCTTGAATGTGCAATGTCCACCATTCTAACATGCTCAGTGTTGCACCTGTAGACCCAAAAGCTGTTCAATTGCACACCAAGCCCCTTTTCCAGGCTTGGAGGGTGACAAAATGATGTTAGAGTGGACCCTAGCTGGTTTGAGAATTGCCTACACAGTCTAGGGCTCGATCCTAGATAGTGATAATGGTGCGACATAGACGTCGCACGTTTAAAAGGGGGAGATTACGATTCTCCATATCCCATGTTGGTGGTGGTGGGTTATGAAGAATTTGAATCAGATAAAAATAATCACTGATGGACCTATACGCAACATGAAATTTTCTTTGAAAAGTGAGAAAAATAGACTTAATTCAGGGTTGCACCTGTATGTCTAGAGGCTATTTAGTTGCGCACCATCTTGATTGGTCATTTTATAGCATTTCAAAAGCACAACAATAGAATTCAACAAAACACTATTTATCAATCACATGTTTTTTTTTTTTTTTTCCCCAAAGAAACAAAACTTGAGATTTTTAAAAAGAGCTCTCGAATTCAATCCAGGATTTAGGGATGAGGGAGGATTACCAATGATATAAGAAAAAGATAAAATTGATTGTGTAAGCAATTTTAGATAATTAATGAACATAATTTATTTGTTCTCATTTGATAATTAGGTGGCATTTTAGACAATGCCATCGGCATTGACACTAAACAGTTTTATTTTTGTTCATCTAGAGATTAAATATACATGGAGTTGTACGCTTGTATTTCACATGAATATGAGACCTTCTATGAATAATTTTCGTGATAGATAACATGTTTATGTATATTAAAAAACATATCCCACGTTAAACAAATAGAAACTAATATAAAATCTATACTTAATTATAAAATTTTATATGCATTAGAGTTTTAAAAAAATTCAACAATCTAATAAAAATTTTAAAATCCAAGACATTGAAAGACCTCAAAAGATGAGTTGCAAGTGAGGTGAAGTTTTAGATAATATATTTCATGTTGAATAAGTATAAAAATATAAAATAATATAAAGAGTAATGCTATTTTCATAATTATCTTACAATTTCACTTACCAAAAATATATTGACCATTGAATTTATTAGAGTTACAAAAAAATCTATTTATTCAATGCATGATATTTTACATAATTTACTTATTGAAAAGTATCAACCATTGGATTTATAAGAGTCATTAAAAAAATCCATTTATTTCATTTGACTGTATGTGAGGGAGTGTTTATTAACCACGTCTAGAAAGAATTAGTTTTGAAATATGCGAAAATTGGCTCAATGAAAAATCAACTTATTTGATACATGAGATATCAATTTAACAATTGATTTTTTTTAGTAAGTGATTTTGTTAAATAATTATGTAAAAATGAGATATCAATTTAACAATTGATTTTTTTTAGTAAGTGATTTTGTTAAATAATTATGTAAAAATGACAGTATTCTAATAAAAAATGTTGAATAAACCATTGCTATAAAACTTAAGTATTTTGAATTGAACCTAAATTTAACTATTAAATTATATAATATAAAAAAGGAGAAGTAAAATTCCTCGAATTAACACCAAATAATTGCTGGGAAGGAGTTTATAAAGCAACTTGAAAGATAAACATCGTTTAATTCTTTCTATGAAAAGTAAATAAAGGAGATATCAAATAGCAACGTACAAGCATTACTTGACTAAAAATCCGTTTAGTAATAAAGTCTCAATCCTCCATCACTCACTCAATATTTGGATTTAAGTTGCACACAAATATACATATTTAGAGGAAGATAATCTTCTCCAAACTTATCCATCAATTTGATCTAATTTTATGGAGAAATTTTATAATACTTAAAGAATATATATATATATATATATATATATATATATATATATATATATATATATAATTACACGATGAGCCCACTTTTAAGAAGAGAAATAGATACATAAAAAAAAAAAAAGACAATTACATTCAGATCCATAAAAAATGATAAAAAGATTTTTAACTTGGCTCATTTTTTTTTAATTTCTTAATTTAATTTAATTTTTTTTTTTGTGTTTATCTCTCTGTAGAATAATTTACAGTAATCATTTTTTTTAGTATTATAAAATTTCTCTAATTTTACCCTCTTTAAAGGGAAAGAAAATCCCAAGTATTTTACCATAATAAGAATTAATTAAGAAAGATGTTGCATATTCTTAACAATCCATTCACCAAATCTTAGTAAGGGACCATAAAAGAAAAGCTGTCTCCATACCACAAAGAGCCAAGTCTTTTACGAGCAAAGTTGTCATCATCATATACATGTGCTATATTTTTCCCACTACCCAAAGTATATAAGTAAGCAGCAAATCTTTTGAAGTGGGCGTCCCACAGAGCAGTTACATACAACACCCAGACCTGCCTGCATGGCCTTCGCTTTGCGTATTAAACCGCCTGTCTTTGTAATCCATTCTCTGCCAAACACATGCTGTTGATTTAGATAATAAAATCATTTTTTCTGTTTCTCTTATTTTTCATATCTCTTCTCTCTCACAAAGATCAACACCATCAGTTACCTATAGATTTTTGTGTTTATTCCCTCAGTACTGACCACAACCCTCTAAAATATCGCTTTGGCCAACTTGCTTCTCTCGTCTCCACATGGCCCTTTTAAACGATTCTTGTTTTACATAACAACAAGACGTACTACTGTTTACTCTTTTCATTTTGGTTTTGAATGAATGCTAAATCATCTGAAGAGATCTGCATTTTGTATAACAATCAGGTATGTACATGATAACAAATGGCTTTTCTTTTCTTTTCTTTTCTTTTCTTTCTTTTTTTTTTTTTTTTAGAATTTCAAGATTCTTTTTTTTAATCCTTTCTTGTGTTTTTTATTTTATTTTTTGTCATGGGGGATTCTTATTTGTGTTAATGAAAATGGGTTTTGAATATTTTGAAGTTCTGTTTGCATGTCGACGATATTGCTTTCTGTTGTCAGCCCTTTGATGGGTTTTATTTATTTATTTATTTATTTTTTGTGCTTTTGCCTTTATTATTGTTTTTTTATCATTGCATTTTTTCTTATGTTTGGCTTTGTAAATGGGTTCGTTGGTGAATTTTTTAATTGCTACTGATCGAATTCCCATTTGGGGTATATGTTCATTGGAATTTTTTTTTCGAAATTCAAAAGTCGGTGTTTTGGACCCCACATGTATGTTTTCTACTCTTTTACTTCAGTTGCTAAGTTCAATTATGTTCCCTTTTCAATTGATTTGCTAATGTGGATACAAAAACTATGCTTTCGTGTTCGAGTTTGGATATAAGTCGGTCCTTAGTCTTTTCTAAACTCCCGTAAGCAGTGAATATTCAAGTTGAGTTTTTTTTTCCCTTTTTTTCTTAATCTCTACATATCATTGTATTCAGTGATGTCGCCTGCATTTTCCCAGATTAGAATTACCGCAATCTTTTCCTTTCAGGTTAATTAGAATGTAACTGGTTGGCTGATTGGTAATTCTGTATAAATGTTTTTGCATGGTTTATCAACAGACTGATGGGGAGAGAAATACAGTTTACGATGTTTATTAAGGTCTATAGCATCTATTCTTCAAATTTGAAAAGTTGAAGCATTTGATGCATGAAGACAGTGCACAATTTGAATAATCAGGTTTTTTTTTTTTTTTTTTTAATGTTTTGTAACACAATGCAATTATTCAATAATTGTGTAAACATTTTAAGTGGTTAATTATGAGTTTTTTCATCTCTTTGTACTCTCTCTGGTCGGGCATGTGTGAGAAGACACTTTTTGTTTATTTGTTTTCTTAATCAATATCGTTCTCTAAGTGGCTGTTGTAGAATAAGAGATGGTTTACCTTGTCGAAGAGTACACTTAACTGGATGGCCTGACTTGCAGACTTTTTATCAAAACAACCATATGCCAGGGAGCAAGTGTAATGTTGATCCTGCCACACCCAAAAGTAGAACAGAAAGGTTACTGAAGGAAAGAAATTTACGGAAATTAAACAGGGTGTTCAATCTGAATGAGAAAGCAGGAGATAGTATGAGGGATGCAGAGCTCTTTTCTAATGATTCTGCTTTATCTGAAGCTGAAAATTGGGCTCCACTTAATGAGGAAGAATTGTCTGAAGGGGTTGATGGATATGAAAGGCAAGATCAGAGGCTTCCTAAACAACGTTTATTGGTGGTTGCGAATAGGTTGCCCGTGTCTGCAGTTAGGCAGGGCAAGGATTCGTGGCAACTTGAGATAAGTGTAGGTGGGCTAGTCAGTGCACTTCTGGGTAGGTGATACTGAAATTTCTTTCTCAAATCATCCTTTCAATTCCTGTAGCATATAAACGTGTATTGTCTCTTTTTTTACGATAATTTCTGTTCGATTAAGCATAGTCGCATTAGCCTTTTCTTTTTGGTGCATGTATTTAAATAGTTTCCACTTAAGTTTTAAGGGGACTTGAAGTGTTGTTCTTTTCTTGAAGGTCTGAAGGAATTTGATGCCAGATGGATTGGTTGGGCTGGTGTAAATGTACCTGATGAAATTGGACAAGAAGCACTAACTAAAGCTTTGGCTGAAAAGGTTCAAAAACCTGTGTTGCATTTTGATGTTTCAATTCATATTCATCTATGATCTGATAAAACTTCATCGATAATCAACTCCTCTTCTTTCCGTAGTCTATGCAATGGTTCACTTTTATCCTTCCTAATTTTGGTCCATTCTGTGCAGAAGTGCATCCCAGTTTTCCTTGACGAAGACACTGTTCATCAGTATTACAATGGTTATTGTAACAACATAATATGGCCTCTTTTCCATTATCTTGGGCTTCCCCAAGAAGATCGCCTTGCAACCACCCGTAGTTTTCAATCTCAATTTGATGCATATAAGAAGGCCAACCAAATGTTTGCTGATGTTGTGCACAAACATTATGAGGAGGGTGACGTTGTTTGGTGCCATGATTACCACCTAATGTTTCTTCCCAGATGTCTGAAAGAGAAAAACAGCAACATCAAAGTTGGTTGGTTTCTTCACACTCCTTTTCCTTCCTCTGAAATACATAGGATGCTGCCATCTCGTAGAGACCTGTTGGAATCTGTTCTTGCAGCCGATTTAGTTGGGTAAGTTGTGGGTAGTGTAATACAGCATTTTGAACTATCTGTTTCCATCAACATATTATGTGCTCCATCCTGCTTCATATATTCCAGCACTGTATGCTCTATTCTTCAATTCGTTCAAATTTATAGTCATTGAAAGTTTGCTTCAGATGCACAGATGGTGTTTTGGAAATTGTACCCCTGGCCTAGATTCAAGTTCCTTAAAAAATTCAAGTTCTTATTTTTTAAGTGCCATCTTCTCTGTCTTCCTGTTTCCTACATAACTTGCAAGGAAAGAGAAGATGAAAAGATGCACTTGGTAAGGAGGAAACTCCATTTGTTACACGACTGATGAAACCTTTGGAATTGATGCTATTTCTTTCTCTGAGATACCTCTTGATCATTGCATATGATAACTGATATGAACTGATACCATCCTGCTCCGTCCAAGAGGTTGGTGAAGCATTTGACGGCTAATAATTGTATTTTCAGCGTGATAAATGGTACTTTGATTCATAATCTAATCAACATGGTTGACTTTAACATATGTTATTATAGATATTTTTCTTCTCAAGTAGAAAGAAACAATTAAGAATACTATACCAAACAATTGCATACAAATTCCAGAAAACTAGTAAACAAAGTATTTTAGACTGTTTCCCCTTGAAAATGCAATCTGAGAGCCTTGTTTTGGAATTTAGTATACTTGTTGCTTGTTGCTTGTTGTTTGCTGGAAACATACTTATGGTTGAAGAAGTAATAGTCTGTCTTTTTACAGATCAAAAAATACATGCAGATACTATAAGAAGTTGAATGCTTTTTATATTGGCACACTATACAACACATGCAGATTTAGCATCCATATAAGGTTGCTTATAAATGTTTAAAGAACTCCAGCAATCTAAAAGCTTATCTAATCCGAACAATAGCAGTTGCTTTTTGTTTATCTCAATTTTCCTTGCTCCAATCCTACTTGTAGAAGGATTATATAATCTTGCACATGATTTGTGAACAGACTAGATGATTCACAGAGCAGAATGGTGCAGTCAGGCTTAAGACACCAGATTATCTCTTTGGAAAATTGTTTCTGTGGTAATTATTTTGGTTTCTTTGGATAATTATGTTTGTAATTGCTGGCCTTTTAACTTTCAGTTTTCACACATACGATTATGCAAGACATTTTGTCAGTGCTTGCACTCGTATCCTCGGGCTTGAGGGTACACCTGAAGGAGTTGAGAATCAGGGAAAGCTGACTCGTGTAGCAGCGGTATATATTTTGCTGAAAATTTTATCTTTCTTATGCACACACCGCAAATTTTTTTCGTATTAATTTAATACTAAATAAGCTTTTATAAATCAGTTTCACAACCCTTATTCTTCCTCATGATATCACCATTTTTGTTTTTTGGGGGATTCAAACTGCAGTTTCCTATTGGGATAGATTCTGATCGATTCATTCGAGCTCTGGAACTCCCTCAGGTCCAGGATCACATAAAAGAACTGAAAGAAAGATTTGCTGGCAGAAAGGTTGGAGCTTCTTTTACTGCATGAGTGCTACATCTATTAATACTCTGAGATTTTCATTAACACGCATCTGAAAATTCTATTACTATCCTTTTAAAATTCACAGAAGATTCTTCCATTTCATTTAAAATCGAGCACATTTTTTCTTGTTAATACTTATTAATGAGCTGATGAATACATGGATAGTAAGCTAGTGCAGAACTCGAATTTTGGTCAATTTTCAGGCAATTAGGAGGTTGTTCACTTCAGAACTCGAGCTCATTTAATGTTCTCATATATTCACATAATCTTAATGATATTTCTTTTCCTCATGCTTGAGCCAACATTTCCAACCCCGATCAACAGCAGTATAGGTGATTTAGCGTGAATAAATGCCTCTGAAAATTAAGTAATTTCTTCAATCTTGGATTTATGCTTTCCTTAATATGACCTAGCTAAGTTTGTTTGCTAATCTGGTTGCTTTGTTTTACTCATATGTGAGTAGGTAATGCTAGGCGTTGATCGTCTTGATATGATTAAAGGAATTCCCCAAAAGATATTGGCGTTTGAAGAGTTCCTTGAGGAAAATCCAGAGTGGCGGGATAAAGTAGTTTTGCTGCAAATTGCTGTGCCAACAAGAACAGATGTTCCTGAATGTATGTGCTTTTTATACAATTTATTAGTTACTGGTGTTCTTTTATTCAATATAACCAGCAAGTAAACTTTCTTCTATCCCAATCATACTGGCACAGAATTGAATTAGTGATGCAGGGAAATATTGCCTGCATGGTTGTAATATAAACTTTTAAGGATTTAAGTTTAAACGTTGGCTTTCTATTGAATTAATTGTTAGTACTTTCTAAAAACTCCCAACCATTTTGAAGTATCTATTGTCAGACTTGCTTTTTTTTTTTCCTTCCCCTTTTTTTGTCCTTTGACAGATCAAAAGCTTTCAAGTCAGGTTCATGAGATTGTCGGGCGCATCAATGGGAGATTTGGGACTCTCACTGCTGTTCCAATACATCATCTGGTTTGCTTTTACCTTATGAACCATGAAATTTGTCACTGGGATTAGTTTATGAATTTAATCAAAGCTTCCTTTATAATAAATCAAAAGTTACCTGCCTGGTGGTAATAAAAATAATGGAAGAGTAGATCTCCCACTCCAGAAAAGCTGACGTCTTTATTTGAGAAAAAAAAAAAAGATATGATTAAATTAAGTAGCCTGAACAAAAATTATTTAGCATCAATATAACTAACGAAGTTTAGTCTTGAACAGACTGTGGAGGAAGCATATTGGTGTAGCCTAACCAAACCAGTTCGCGTTTGAGGATCAGTGGTGTATCAAAACTTTTTACATCCTCCAAACTATTCTTTTTTCCTTTATTATTTTCTTTTTCATGGAAGCTTGAATTTTCACATGCTAATAGTTGGTGATAATATATATTTTTTTTATGGTGGATTTCATTAATTTAATTGTGAATACTGGGATAAATGCTTCCATTGAGTAATATGTGGAAGTTCTAGGAGTTAAAATGTTTCAATTTTTCGGCACTATGACAATCTTGTGGAAAAGTTGAAATTAGGCGGAAAGTGCATTAAGGTGATAATTATTGATTGCTTAGTCTCTCTTCTGACTATAACTTGCTAAGGTTTTCCTAATGATTGATCACAACACATTTCTTTTCCCAACCATTCTTGATAACTTGCTACTACAGATGGCTAATGCATTTTCTTCTCTTTTCCAGGATCGGTCTCTTGACTTTCATGCATTGTGTGCACTATATGCTGTAACTGGTACCTATTATTAGCAGTTTATAGTTCTTTACATTTCTTCTTTACGGAATGGTATTCTGGATTAGATATTATCAATTTTTTGTGAATAGTTTCTTGAACTCTCAAAAGAAGATGGATGAACTGGTAAAATTGTAGAAATAAACAAGCTGGAAAATTTTTGCTGCCAGTAAAATGTGGAATGAGATATTCTATCTGGTTTATGCCTTCATTCTTGTGGGGTAAAATTTTATTTTGTTCCTTTCCTTCGTTTATGACCTTCTCTCTTTTGAAGGGAGGTGGGGGTAATGTCATGTCCTATTATGCGGCCCTATGACTTTTTTGGTGTTCTTCTATAACAACTTCTATAGTTTTGCAAAAACCTGCAAACAACAAATGCTTGCATACTAATATGAGTAGCAGAGCAAAATAGGTTATCATTGTACACTGATGCAGAACTTATTGCATAAAATGTTGAAGAAATTATGAACTAACTGCGTACCAGGTCCAACATTAGCATTTGGTTTTCCGCATTAGAAGATATAAATATCAAATATTTGCATATTTAGTTTAACGAGGCTTGTCCAGCTTTTCATCAGTAAGTTGCTCAATTGGTCATAGTTAGATGGTTCTGGGAGGGTAAATTTAATTTCAGGCTTATCAACACAATAACAACTTTTTTTTTTTTTTTTTAATCCAGATGTGGCACTTATCACTTCTTTAAGAGATGGAATGAATCTTGTAAGCTATGAGTTTGTTGCCTGCCAAGCTTCCAAGAAAGGGGTGCTCATTCTAAGTGAGGTAATTAAAACTTTACAATGTCTTAGAGATCATGTTCATCCAAAAGGACTAGAAGCTTATGAAACCCAGCTATGCTGCTCTGTTTTATTTTTTAATTCTTGTGAATTAGTTCAATATAGAAATTCAAGCAGCCATTTTTCGTCTCTCATTCATTACTGGAAGTTTGTTGGTGTCTAGGAGGAATCTAAGATTAGATGGTTATTCTTTTGGTCTGCCAAACATGATGAGAACCTATAGGTAACCACCAATGGTTAAAATACTGTATTTTCTTAGTAGCTACATGTGATTGCGTGCAAAATGTTTATATCATCCAGAAGATATTTGAGATGAGTTGCTGAACACCTATTGAAACAAGGTGGAAATGGTTGATCAGCTGCAAGGTTCCCTTTGCATTGGCATACAATGCCAGCTTATGTGTATTATTCCAGATATAGTCTCTAGCTTCTGTTAGGAAGTTTGGATAGAGATGCATTCCACAAATAAAGGAAAGAAACAGAAAAACACATTCATCATGCTTGAATATGACAGTTCGCAGGTGCAGCTCAGTCTCTTGGCGCTGGAGCTCTCTTGGTGAATCCATGGAATATTGCAGAAGTTGCTGCTTCAATTAGTCAGGCTTTGAATATGCCAGCTGATGAAAGAGAAAAAATGCACCAGCATAACTTCATGCATGTGACCACACACACATCACAAGAGTGGGCTGCAACTTTTGTAAGGTATCACCATCCTGCGCTGCAGATATTTTGGAATCTAATTAAAGAAAAAGAAATTCAACTCTAGAATCTAATATCTGGGGATATTAATAGTATTTAATTTCCTACTGATTTACACTGATTGGACCTTCAACAACCATGATTATACTACACTAACCTCATTCTGACTGTCATCATTTTTGCTTCCATTATTTTCATATCTTTCCTGTCATGAGAAACTAGGATATCTAATTTACCATCAAGATCTTAATTCCTAAACAGAATATATCCGCTAATATTTTAATATTTGAAAGTAACTACTTTATTGGGAAGTACATTTTAGTGATTGGTTAATATGGTTTTGATGGTATAGTGGTTTAACTTGACTTGATTTGTTTGAAAACATTCTATTGGGGATATGATTTAGCACAACATATGGAAAGTGAGATTCATAATTTCACTTGGCTGTATTGGTTTTTATTCTGTTAGTTTGTTCAACGAAACAAATATTTTTGTATATTCTTCAAGTATATTGTTATATTTGGCCTCTTTTGCTTAATTTTGAAGTTCTCCTTTCTGTAGTGAACTAAATGATACCATTATTGAAGCTCAACTAAGGACAAGACAAGTTCCCTTACTTCCCGTCAAAGTTGCAGTTGAAAGATACTTGCAATCTAACAATCGATTGATTATGCTGGTATGCTGTTTTGCCTCCAACAGTGAAAGATGAATTACCAGTTGCACTTCAATTATGGCAACTTGTCATATAAGTCTTCTATATACTGTTAATAACATAACAGGAAAAGGTTACAGCTATTGAATTCTAAGGCACAAGTATTTTACTTTTCTCCTTCCAATAAAATGCTTTATTATGAGGAATTCAATTAGTTTCATATGCATTAGTATGCCCTACTTGCATATGTGGAATTTGGAAGTGAATACAAAAAAATCTATTTTTCAATACATAAATTGTACTTATTTTCAATTATTTCTTCATTGTTGTACATGATTATTGCAGGGTTTCAATGCAACATTAACTGAACCATCAAGCACTCAAGGAGTGAGAGGCGGTCATATTAGAGAGCTGCAATCTAAACTGCACCCGGAATTAAAAGAAACTTTGAAAAAACTTTGTGATGATCAAAGAACAACCATTGTTATCCTCAGTGGAAGCGATAGAGCTATCCTGGATGATGTATTCTCATATCTTCAATCACACTTTTCTTTCCGCTTTCATATTATGCTTTTGGACTAATAACTTCTTATACAGAACTTTGGAGAATACAATTTGTGGTTGGCAGCAGAAAACGGGATGTTTTTACGCCATACTGCAGGAGAATGGATGACAACAATGCCAGAAAATTTGAATATGGATTGGGTCGACAGTGTTAAGGTTAATATATCATACCTTAAAACTTAGTACTTTCTATGACAGCTTCTCTAGACTCTAAATGTCAGATGCTTATTCATGATTTCAGCATGTTTTCGAGTATTTTACAGAAAGAACACCTGGATCTCATTTTGAAGTTCGTGAAACTTCACTTGTATGGAATTACAAGTATGCAGGTACTTGGTCTGTTTTCTTTTTTGTGCGCTTTCAAGTATGAAAGAATTCACACACAAAGTTGTGTGCTTTCATTGTATTGTTTTTCTCTTTTACATACATATATGCACATAGACAGTTATGTGATGAATACTATGGGATCACATTTTGTCTTGATGATGTCCTAACAGCATTTGTTTTTCCTTTTATTTCTTAAATATTTAAATGTTTTAGAGAGTCATTTTGGAAAGCTTCAATCAAAGGATATGCTGCAGCATCTCTGGACTGGCCCTATCTCAAATGCAGCTGTTGATGTTGTCCAAGGTGATCGATCTGTTGAGGTCCGCTCTGTTGGGGTGACAAAGGTATAAACATCAGGATTAGCTGCTAGACACCACATACCAGCTTTGTGATCTTTACAGAATGATCTGTTTGTCTTTCCCATTGATATTTCCATTTACATACAGGGAGCAGCAATTGATCGTATTTTAGGGGAAATAGTTCATTACAAGGGCATGAAGTCACCGATTGATTATGTACTCTGTGTTGGGCACTTTCTAACCAAGGTGCGTTTTTCTAGACATAATCTTTGAGCAGCTTTCATTTTTCCAAATGTATTATTTTTTTGAGAAATCATAAGCATCTAATTTAATTTATATATTCTATTTTTCACTTAACTAGTAACACCTTGAGCAATCTGTTTTGACATTGGAACCAGCATTTAGTTACAGACAAAATAAAACTTGCTCAGCAAAGGTTTTGGCTAGCCTCTGATCATTAGAGTGATTATAGTATATAGGAATTTGTTAATGAATAATTATAAAATAAAAAGTTCGAACAATAAAGCCCTTGGCCAATTTTTCTCTTGCGTCAGCGGCAATTCTTTTGACATTCAGTGATAGCACTGCGTGCACTAAATTGCTAGATACAATTGTAGGAGTAGCTTGTATGCTCTACTTTAACTGAATTTAAATACAACCTTGGAAAGTTTATAGTCCAGTTTCACACACCATGCTCTTTCTTTTTTCTTTCCAATATTGAAGCACTTTCAACAGCTCACACAGATCCCAGAGATATCAACTCACATCAATTATTAATTTTGTGGATTTTCCTACTCTTAAGACAGCACGAAAGCATTGCAGGGACACATATACACTACTGATACTGAAATCCAGATATTAGAAATAAAGTTCTTTTTTTCTGAATTCATTGCTTCAGGATGAAGATGTCTATACATTTTTTGAGCCAGAGCTTCCTGGTGAATCACTAGCCTTAGCACGAACCAGTTCACTAGATCCTGCGAGGACGTTTGTTTCAAAGATGTCAGACAGTGCATGCCAAACCAAGTCTCCGCTAAGGAAACAACGCTCCTTGTCAACTTTGGAAAGGAGCAATTATCGAAGTGCTGCTTGGCGGCCTATAATTCATGATAGAATGTCATTGCCTGAGGGTTCATCAGTACTTGATCTCAAGGCTGCGAATTTCTTCTCTTGCACTGTTTCCCGGAAGCAATCAGATGCTCGATATCTACTTCAATCATCAGATGATGTTATCCCACTTTTAAAAGAGCTGGCAGAATCTATATCATCAAATTGATTCAAGTTTACTGGTTTTCTTGGTGCTGTAATTCAGAGGCTTGAAAAACTAAGAGAGGATCTTGGTGATTATTGGTGCTGGAGCTAACAGAGTTCCCATTATCAAGTTGATTCAAGCGATCTTTCTCCCCCAGCTGTTTTAATTCTGAAGTTTGAGAACCTGACAGAGAATCTAGAGATCAAGGAATGGTGACTTTTGGCAGCTGCAAGATGTGCTTTTATCTGCACATTTTAGTCTCTCCCAAGTCCCAACTACCTTTTTGAAGGCACATTAATTAGTCTCTTACCCTACAATTTCTGCCTGAATGGCCTTTGGATAGTTTAGTGCAAGAATTTTGAACCAGTAAAAACGGTATCCAAACAAAAGGCAAACCATTTGTTTTTGTTAGTTGGGTGACATCAAATGTAGCAACCAGAAGTAACATAATGAGAAGAAATTTAGTATCCAGATTTGCAACCTCCCCGTTTGAGGAAATCATTGCTCTACTTTCCGCATTGTTATGTTTCAGTGATCCAATTTTAATCTTCTGAGGCTAATGGTACTTTCATGGGATCGACTATTTACATCCCAAAAAACGCTTCGAGTTCATTTAGTAGTCTAAAATTGGCTTCAACAGCAAGCATGTCTTCAAAAATTAATGATAAGCAAAATACACCATTTTGGCTTTTCTAGAGAAGCTGAAAAGTCCAGAATACAATCAACACAAAGTGGAGCTGCCACTATTTTGGCTTCGTTGAAAACGCCTTCTTGTCATTCTCATGCGAGTAGAAATTAACTCTTGCCCTTTGCCTCGTACGTATGGCAAAACCTAAAAGATTCTGATTCTGTTGAAAAAAAAAAAAAATTGAAGGCAAGAAACAATTTGGTGAGTTTGGCATGAAGTACAAAAGTTTGAGCCTCGAAGAATTAAAAGACAAACTAGAAGATGTCAATACTTCTATAGCATGCATCGCACTGACAACTTGATTCTGTAGAGCACGGACCATTCTCCATTCCTATAGGATAGTGACAAGTTTGAGTTCGCTTTTTCGACATACAAGATTTGTCAAAACAAATATATTTCATAGAAGCAGGTCCCTAAATTTGACTAACGGATGCTAATATAACACATCAATGTCATACAAAACTTCCCTCTTTAGTCTTCTGTTCAACCTAGCTAATTTGTGAAGTAAGAAACAAGCTTGGAGTAAGAATTAAAAAAAATAAATAAAAAATAAAAGAATGGAGAAGTTAACTATTCATTTATTGTATATATATAGACTAAGATTACTATGGACTGTGACTCAGTCTTTCTGTGCTTCCACTTCAGGCTCTATTTTGGCCATCCATCTCTCTTTCTAGCCACTCACAATTCATCTTAACGCTTGGATCTTATTTTCATTATTAATAATTACTAAAGCAGTTGTTTCTTAGTTTATTTCTCAGCCTTCTTATTTCAAATATTTATAAGCTTTGCCATTGGGTGCATTAGTGCAATATTACTTTTGCCTTTCCTCCTCAAAATAAATAAATAAATAGTTAATCGGTTTCTTTGTAATTTTCACATACTTCCTCATCAATCTCCACCCTTTATTTTTAACCTAGAAATCATAGCCCTCAACTAATCATATATAAGGGGAAAAAAATTCTCTCTCATCTTTTTTTTGCTAAAAAAAATCAAGAAAGAAGAGATGAGACCCTCCAACTATCTCCATCTTCAACTCTTTTCTCACCAATATATATATGAATACCATTTTGGATTTTTTTATAGGTCATCTTTCTACAATCCACAAATATTTTTTTCTGAATTTTTGTCCATGTCTTGCAGCCTGCTTTGGAAGAGAAAAGAAGAAAAAGATTATAGATTGTTTTGAGAATATCTTAGTCATCTATCTTGAAAAATAGAAGAAAATAAAACTAATTTAAGATGGGTTTTTCTAGCTATATCAAATTCTCAAAAATCTAAAAAATATTGTTGCCAAGAGATGTCCTGGTTTTCAATTGGCTGATTGGTAGTTGAACATTTTTTTTTTTAGTAAAAAAAATGGTGGTGGTCAATCTTGACCCCTGTATAAATATGAGAATTTAAAATCATTGGTTTTTCTTCAAGTCAAAATTCAAAAACTTACTGAAATATTAATAAAGGTTTATTTGGAAGGATTTCCTTAATTTTACTAAATTCTTTGACAAAATCTTTCTCAAACGTTTTTTAATCCAAATAGTTTTAGCTACAAGGGCATATTGCTAGATTATTTCCATGCACAAAGCTATTCTGGTCAATTAATAAAGGACCCATTAGCATCAACTTTTTCATCTTTTAGCAAAAATAATTTTTTTAGTTTTTTTTTTTTTAGTTTTTTTAATGAACAAATGGCAGATAGAAAAGAAGATGAAAAAATTATAGTGAAAGTTGTGATTTCTATGGTATGTAAATTGTAGGTCCTTTTTAGTTAATTAATTTTGTAGTATTTTAATAAAAGATTGATGGTTTATGCTATATTTTGTGTTAGTTGATTTGTTTGGTGTTTATTTAGTTTGTTGATGCAATTTTTTTTTGCGATCTTCATTTATTTTTAATTATTTTAGTTTATTGTTTTTGTAAATGGATATAGATTCAAATTGCCTAGAAAAATCTAGAGAAGTCAAGCTACATCCGAGGAGGAAAAAAAGTAAATAAAAATAAAAATAAAAATTCTTGGACTTGATCTTAGTGGATTAATTCATTTTTTCAATGAAAATAAAGATAAAATTTTCTATACCAATTTCAATATTCTCCATGGGATTTCTATACTAAGTTCAGTTCTTGGCATGTGGGTGATAATATCAATTCTCTTTTAGAGAATCTTTTTCTTTAAATGAGTATTACAATTCTCCCTGGAAGATGTTGTACTATTATTGACCACCTGCTAACACAATTGATAAAAGATTGGTAATTAAGAAAATAAGTTGAATGAAGGCAAACCTTAAAGTAGAATCACTAGCGGCTAGATGTATGTGTGTGTGTGTGTGTGTGTGTGTGTGTGTGTGTGTGTGTGTGTGTGTGTGTGTGAAAAATATGTGAAAGTTAAGTACTTTAAAGCTCACACTGATTGGCCTAAAATTCACTAGACTGCAACTACTAATAAATAGATAATATATATTGTTTTTAATTTCCTCTTCAAAAGAGTTTGGGAGCTCGAAATTATGTAGTTTTTCGGATCAAATATTATTCTTTCACTTTTTCATTTTTTGGCACCTATGCTAATAATTATAGCTATTTATTTAGTGAACTATTTGGGTGCAACCGCATTTGCTTTTCCTCTAATCTTCTTTCTTTATTATTTCATTTGCTACTAATAAGTTGTAAACAATAAATGCTCTCTCTATAGGTTTAGATTTACTCTAAAAGCAATGTATACATATTTCTTCAATTATAGAGAACAATTTTTGAAATAAAAACATGAGTACCATTCATTCTTGAAATTGTTCAATTCCTTTTTTTTTTTTTTTTGGCAAATTTTGCATGAAATTATCGCCACACGATTGTCTGTTTTGAAGAACGATGTTTATGGAGGGCCGGTTCGAGTTTGTGCTTCTCAAGTATGGATAACCATAAACAATGGCCAACCAGATCAACTTTAATTTTCTATTTATTGATTTTGAGATAATTAAAAATAATAATTTATATTTTCTTTATGAATGAAACACAACTCATTTGCTAACATGATGATATGACTCGTCATTTGTTGTTAAATAAATCACCTAAACTTAAGATACGGATCTACATGGCCAAAAAACATTTGGGTTGAACTAGAGGAGTATGGATTAAGAACTATAAAGATCGAAAAGAACAACAAGTATATGTCAACCCATATAGAATGTTATTGTTTTTATTGCCTAAACAGCCAATGACAACTTATTACAAATCATTTTGACTTTTTTTCTTTTTTCTTTTTTTGGTTTGCATTTGACAACACGTTTTCACTTAAACTATGAAGATAGTTTTCTTCATCCGTTAACACTTTTATATTGGTTAATGATTTTTTTTTTCTTTTTCTTTTTTAGATTACTCAAGCTTGCTAATATCTTCTAATAGGTCTTGTTTCATTTACTTTGTAAAGAGGTGCAATCCAAGTATCAACAAAAGCCAAAGACATCCCACAATTCTTAGTGCTAAAAAAAGGTCGATTTGACGAGCTCATGAACTTCTATTCTTTCAAAAGCAAATTCATAATACTTTTATTAACAACATGGCTATCATTCATGTGAAGCAAGATGTTCAAAGGTTAAAATATGTTTGTTATCAAATCAACGATCCAATAATATGTTTTATTGTAAAGTTATGTATCGAATGCGGTAAAAAAAATAAAAAATTGATTATGTAACAAATCAGATTTGATTTAATAAACAAATTTCCTATAGCGATGGCGTTGCAAGCATATAATGATGGCACCAGCCATAATATAACATGGATATCCAACAAGTATATATATATAAATAACATCTTGTGTTGAATGGTTAAGAAATTAGATAGCAATTTGACATAAACAATTGCTAACTAATGAAGATTAAAGCATACAAATACTTTGATATCTTGTGGAACAAGTAATGACCTTATCATAAAACTCTCACTGATGAAATTGAAAGTTCGAATCTCACATATAGTAGTTTGCAAATAACACATTTATATTTTTATACATAGTCATATCTATTTTCGAAAAGATTTGTAATTAAATTGAGATTTTCTTAATTTTTATTAATTCAATTACCACCGGATCCAAAGAAATAAAGCAGTACAACGAATTTTCATTTAAAAGATAATTAAAAAAAGGGCCAACATTAAATCACCGGGTTAAGCTACCATTAATTAAAAGGAACAAACCCTAATTTATCACGTAAAGTAAGATAGAAGGAGAGTCGATGGGGGTAGAGACTAGAGAGAACAAGAATAAGAGAGATATAATGGTCACAAAATGATTGCTTCAATTGGTGCACGCTCAGGATTTGGGGGTCCATTGGATGCCCATGCCGCCATTTGACTT